TGCGGTTCATAGCTGACATTGCGAAGGCGTTTTTTGTTCTGCGCACTCGGGGAGAAAGGGCAGTCAGTGGTGGAGGAGACGGCGAGGTCGAGGTCGTCGGGCGGTGAAACCTCGAGCTTCGACAGAGGTTAACGGGCGGTCGTGGAATGGCGCATACACGGATGTGCTTTTGGGTGTCGACGGCGGAGGAATCGGTAGGTAGTCGTGGACCGGGGAAACAAAAGTGCGAACAGGCCTGGTGTAAGGCTGCGGTTGTCAAAAGGCGTGGTCCAGCCTTCGGAATCAACAAGTCGCTGCGTTATCGCTGGGCTGGTACCTATGTGGGTAGGATGGATCACGATGATGTGGACGGGCAGCCCGATAGATGTCCAGTGTTGTATGGACGCGCTGAATGGCGGCCACTGTATCCACTGTGGTCAACTGTGGTGTCCTCCAAGCCAGTCGCTCGCAGCGACAGGCCAGAGCGTCTTGGCATGGTGACGGGAGCCTTGTGTTGCCCCACTCACAGGGTCCTTGCTGCCCCGCCGGAAAGGAGAGCTTCAGCCACATCGCCGTCTTTGGGCATTCTGGAAGCTGTGGCTTGGCACTTGGCGGCGACGATGGTGATGGTCGTGACGACGGGGGCACTTACAAGAAGCATCCACTCCCGGCACTACATTAGAGCAGCGACTATTCGGCGACGGTGTAACCTAAGGTATACACGTTCTCCATATGTAGTAGAAATTCGAACACTCTCCGTCATCCAAGCCTACAAGTAGAACCTATCACCATCATCAACGTCACAAGTGTCAACCGGCAGAGGCGAGACAATGGTAATGCTGCCCAAGTCTTCTTCCAAGTGCTGATATTCCCCAAGCTAACAATGAGATGTTTGACTGCGACAGGCCAACTTTCCCAATCTGCGCCGCCTCTTCATCGAGGCCAGGACAGACAGTGAAGAAAGAGACGTGTCCAGAAAAGCAGTACGTCACAACATCCCGATATTGCTGTTTTAACTACTATGAAGATGGCCTGACATGATGATAGTTTTACAATGCCGTCCTGTTTCTAAGCTCCGTCGCAGTCTTCAGCCTGATAGCCCAGAGAATGAACGCCACAAAGTAATACCCTCTCTCCTGTGCCATTATCCTTCGCCCATTGCGTACCTTGATATAGATAGTAGTCATACAAAACCAAAAGGGTATAAAACACCTGGCTGAACCGTACACGCCCAAGACATGATGAAAAAGTAGTGGTGATAATACAAAAACTCCAGAACCATCTCCCTCGCCGCCAAGTCCATCATCTTCGACAGACGCTGCTTGATCTTGATGACCCCCTCGCCGTAGTCACCGTCACGATGAGGACTGGAAGAAATCGATACCATTGTCAAGCTCATAGTAGACGTCCGGCCCGGCACCCCGAGGCGATTGGCCAGCACCGGGGTCCCGAATCGATCGCCATGACTTAATCAGACTCGCTCTCAGAACCCAAGAAAGCGAAATCCGCTCTGTGCTTGGCCGGGGCTCTAACCCTCGCCTTTGGCTCCGCATCCTCCGAATCGTCATCGTCGTCATCATCATCATCGTCGTCATCGCCGTCCTCCTGGACTACATCATCATCATCATCATCATTATTCGCATCCTCTTCACCACTACCCTCCTTCTCCGCCTTCTTCTTTTTCTTCGTCTTCTTCTCCTTCTTATCCTCCCCATCCCCAGCTTCCTCGTCATCCTCCTCTTCCTCCTCAGAATCACTGTCCAGCTTCAAACTCTTCACCTTGGCCGCTGCCCTCCGTCTAGGCCTTCCCCCATCGCCCAATCCCCAGCTCTGCTCTCCCTCCTTCACGGCCTCCAGCTCCTTCTCCAACTCCATGCGCATCTTGATCTCCTTTGCTTTGGACTCGGAGAAGCGGCCGGTCATTCCTATCTCATTGAGCATGTTCTTAAGATGCCTGATCTTCGCCTTGGTGTCATCGCCGTACTTCTTGAGCTCGAATGCCCAGATCTTGCGGATGCCGCACTTGAGTAGCTGGCTTTGGAGCTGCTTGATTAGGACTTCGTCAGGGGAGAGGTCGGCGGAGGCGGATTTGGATTTTGCGCGGCCCTTGCTGGTGCTGGCGCTGGCGCTGGCGGCCTCCTTGGAAGCGGCTTTGCCGCGTCCCTTGCCGCCGCGCTTGGGAGGCTCGTCGAAGACCTCGGACATGGAACTTTCGCCGTTGTCATTGTCGGCCGGTGGGGCGTTCGTGGGCTTGGATTCGGACATCGACTCTTTGGAGGCCCCCTTTTTGGTGTTGGCTTTCCGTCTGGGGGGTTCGTCGTCAATGACTTCGGAAAGCTCGCTCTCGTCGTCTGAGGCTGATTTCGTCTCTTTCTCCTCCGCTTTGGTCTCCTCGCCTTTCGTGTCCTTTTCCTTGGGGGCGTCGACATCCATGGCGTCCGATAGCTCGCTTGACTTGTTCCCGTCATCCTCCAGTCCTGCCTCGTCGATTTCGCTAAGCAGGGACTCTACATCGGATGCTTCGACCTCCTTCTTCTTCGCAGCGGCGGCCTTCTTGGTTGGCTTGCCCTTGGCAGCAGCAGCCTTGGCGGCGGGTTTCGCTCTCTTCTTAGGTCGTTCCTCAGATTCTCTCGCTTCGGCTTCCTCTTCGTCGTCATTGTTGGACACACTCTTCCTCTTGTTCCTGTCCAACGCTTTTGTCGCATTGCGCTTGTTGGTTGGTTCCTCTTCGGATTCGTCGTCGTCAAATTCCTCCTCTTCGTCCTCCTCGCTATCTTGGGGCTCGCTTAGCTCGGACTCCTCCTCTTCGGAAGGTGTCGCCTCCTTCTTTGCGCGCTTCTTCGGAGGTGCTTTGGTTTTCGCTTTGGCGCTGGCTTTCAACTTCTTGGGGCTTGATTTCGCTGGGGCGGAGGATTGGGACGGATCAGCTTCGTCTGATTCTATCTTGGCCTACAATGGAGGGTAACCTTCTGTCAGCAATTGGTTTCATCTTTCTGTACTGCCAAAATTGAATTCGTCAGCTACTCACGAGAGTGTCCATGACAAGTTCCTTGCTCTTTGCCTTCCAGTCGCCGTCTTTGAGATAGCCTTCACCAAGTTTGAGCTTCTTCTCGACGGACTCGCGCACGGCGTTGATGGTCAACTCGTGCGGACCGTGGTAGATGCGGTGCACGGCATCTGCGATCTCTGTCTCGATTGTCGCATCGGCGACCTTTTTGCGGGGAGGCATGGTTGCTGCAAGGAGGGAGGTGCAGGTCAAGTTCGCGTTGTGTTTTCGGTGTCGCAAGCGCAATGACCTTCGGAATCGATATTCAGGGCCCTTAAAGATGGAATAAGGATATTCCCGTCACGAAGCTCTCCCGTATCGTTAAAGATAGAATGCGATGGATGACGTTGGTGATCGCGTCCTGGAGGTTCGTGTTTGCGATCGAAACAGACGCGAACAGATGGGTCGGTGGATCTGATGCGGAGCCAGACGACGGCATCAATGGAGACGAGGGTCTTTGATGTTAGTGGACAAAAGCGGTTGGCCCAAGTGTTTTGAAAGAGTTAGAGCTGTCCTACCTAAAACGGTAGGCCTGAGGTCCGTGTGCAAGCACTGCTGCACTGTGGTAGACAACTGAGAACTCGAAAACATCACCACCATCATTGTCGCCTGTTGCTCTTCTACGGCTTAATCATCGCCATGTTACGCAACCTAGGTTATTGCAACCAACTCCTCGCTTGCATTATTTCACTGCCGGTTTCATGCTCCCAATCCGCTTTGTTCGTCCTACTTGGTCGATGGTTGATGTGCAGGGCAGACCTCTTGGTATTTGCTGACTGCAGTTTATTGCGCTCTCGCCCTCCTATGCCCCCTTCAAATGCTCCAAATTCTTTGGTACTGTCTTACGTTTAGGGTTACAGTCAGCTGAAGAGGTGTCGAGCGCGGCCGCCAGGGGATCCGGGGCGGGATGATCAATCCAACCACATGCCTTGCGATACTGGGGAATGTTGTGAGCTGGCCTAAGTTATATCGAAAAGCTGAAGCCCCGAGAGTGTACCCTCGCCTAGAAAGATGGTACGAAGCTCGATATTGTTGCATCATAGCTGGTTGGGAGCACATCATCACAGAGTGTCCGGATCCATCTTGAAAATGATATAAACTCCATCTTCTCCCCTTTTCACAACAATCGCTACAGGCACTCTAGCCTCTTTGATGGAATAACCCAGTAGCCATTGTCAGAAGCATTTCAATCCTGGGCTTGGCCCTCTCAAGTGTCCTTGGAGCCCACGCATGGCCCACCCTCTCTCTTTCCAGGGACCAACAGTAAGCTCGATACCGGCAAACCCAAAGAGTGCCCTCCTTTCAACAAGGGTAACTTCACCATCGACTACTTCCAGCTCTACCCCGAAAATGCCGACTGGGATGCCCATTCCTGCCAAGTCATCTTCGGGTGAGTATCTGCCCTCTGCACCCCCAAACCATCTCCCCGTCACCACACATATTCCTTCTCCCGACCCAGACTCTTTACCTTCATACTCCCATACTGACAAACCACCATGCAGCTCCCTCTGGAACGGCTCCGTCGCAATCTACGATCCCTACAAGGACAAAATAACCCAGGTTATTACGTACCCCGGCATCACCAACACCGGCACCACCCACATAGGCGGCGTCGCCCGCGACCCCTTCACAGGTCTCTACACAATCCTCACCGACCCCGCCGCAGCATCGGCCACCGAAGGCGCGGACCTCCGCGGGGACCACCTGTTGATCAAATACAACCCCCTCGACCACCGCACCCTCTGGACTGTGAGCTTGACCACCGTAACAAAAGAGCGCTGCGGCGGGTTTCAAGATGTGGAAACTGACGGGTGGGGAAACACGTATGTGGTACTCTTTTTCCTTGTTTCGAGGTACACGATGTTTGACAAAGTAGGCGAGACCGATTTGGAAACTCAACATGTTCACTCTCTTCTTGAGATGTTCAATTCACTTTAACAAAAAGGTAAAAGCGAAAAAAAAAAGGCAAAAATAGTGGCCCGCATGGGGTTTGAACCCATATCTTCCAAACCAGTCGAGTAGCTCGTCGAACTGGACGTGCTCACCATTTAAAACACCAACGGACCACTGAAGAGGTGGCCAGTAGAGGGAACTTATAAAGGCCAGTTGGGGTTGTGACAGCGCGGGGTGCGAAGGAGGGGAGACAGGATGCAAAGAAGCATGAGGGGGAGACGGCGGTGGCTGTGGAGTGGCTGGCAGGAAAGCGGGCAGCGCGCTCTGGCTACCATGCTAGACAGCCAGGGCAACCGACGTTACTTTGACGTTGCCGTCAAAACCTTCCATCCCGAACTCCCAAGCGGAACAGTCAAGTTCTTCCTCGCACTCTTCTTGTCCACTTCCAAGCCCATCTTCTCCAGGAACTCCGACGTGATCTCTACGCCTGAGGCCCACAACTTGTCCACCCGCCCGCTCAATCTCCGCAAAGGCTCGAGCACTTTGTGAAATTGGTTGGACGGCCATGTCCAGTCTACCTGTCTGAGTACTGTATGGCCACTCCTCAGACCTATGTCCATGGTTCCGGTGGCCTGGTTGACATCACCCTGCAGGGCGGCCAGTTGGTGACAACGCCGTACGGGGTGGGACTTGCCTGTGTCTCTGTATTCTGGCGAAGGGTGTGAAGAGTGTAGGTGGAGAGAGATAGCCAGCTTCTATCGTTCCTTTTCGCTAGCTTGGTGGTCTTCCGGCAGGAGAAGGGTGACGGCCGAGTCAACCATGTTGGCGAGCTTGGTCATTGCCTCGGCGTCGGCACTTTCGGTCGGAGGAGAGGCGATAACTAGGTGGACTTCTCGTAAATATCTCGCTGCGCGGGGGCCGAGAGGTCCAAGGAGCCCGAAAGGGGCAGTGCCCGGTTCGTCATCCGGCTCGGGTCGCGCAATGATGCGTGACCAGGACTGCCATCGGCTGAAGTCCCCCGACTTAGTCCAGCTGAAGAGGATTGGCGATGTGGACTGGTGGAAGATAAACGTGTTTCCGCCGAAGAACCGCTCGTAGACGAGTTCTTGGAAGAATCGATTGGTATTTGCAATGGCCACGTGCGCGAAGCCTCGGACGACTGGAGTAGTTGTGTCGGAGGAGCCTGGTGATGATCTTGCTGCCAGCTCGACGGGCACCATCTGTTGGACAAGTGAGCAGAACCTGGATCCGGCAACGTCGGTTCCCTCCCCAGACGGGTAGAGGAGGTAACCAAGCGTGATGAAGCTATAGGCACAGCCGACGGGTACGAGGTACGCCACGATCATCCTCCACACTTCAGCAGGCAGCTGCTTGAAACGATAAGGGCTGGATATTTGTTGTGCTTCTGGGCTCGAGACCACCGGGTGCCTGTTTTTGCAACCGCTCCCCGCTCCTTCTGCCATGTACCAATCCGGATCGCAAAGGATATGCCCGCGTCCTGGAGGATATGCAGAGAGAACAGGCGAGTAGCCACCGATCGACATTGAATTCCGCCTGAGATGTCGTTCACTGTCCGACCTCGACTGGTGGTTGTGGTTAAGCATGTCCCAATCTCGCAACCATCGGCCACGAACCTGGCTCTGGATACCGGTATCGAACGTATCTTCTCGGTCTTCTCGGTCACCGACTTTGGGGCGCCAGACACACAATCATGTTGGCACAGTCTGCTCCAAGTACTCAAAGTACTTTTCGTTCCACTGCGCCAAGAACACGTCGTCGAACAACCCGGGGGCCATGTCGGGCGACACCTCACCATGAGGGCAGAAGCTCGGCGGCATGGATTTCTTGTCGTTGACGGCTCGCTCAAAGACCTTGATCAGGCATTTGCCGCAGATCTTGTGGTCGCATCCTGGCCTCGAGAGGAGGTTCGCGGGTTGCGTTTTGTCTTGGCAAATGTAACATTTTGGCCTGGGTGAGCGAGGTGTTAGCAGATGTTCCACGAGCCTCGATTCCGTCCGTGATGCTTGATGCCATGAAACCTCGACATACGCGGGTGGGAAGACCTTGATCCAAAAGTTGTCAATCCGGCTTGCCCTGAATTCCGACAAGTTTGGATCGGCGGGGATGTGCGCCAGAGTGTCGAACGACTGGCGATACGACGGCGCTGGCTCCCGCTCGTGCTGTGTTAAATTCCTGTTGGACATGTCTTGTGTTCCTGTTGCTGGCGTGGTGTTTGTGGAAGTAGGGGAAGTCCTGTTTTTTTTTGTGGCGTGTCCGGTTCTTGTAGTGCGAGGTGGGATTAACGCATCCGGCGACCGGGATAGCGGCAAAGTGAGTGGTACCTATTGCCGTCATTGTGACTAATGGAGCTGATGAAGCTGAGGATAATTCGTTGGTGTCTCTCGAACCGAGGTGTACGGGCCTTGAGCGGGCAGCGGCAGTCGCTCATTCGTGGGCGGTACTATAACATCTCCCTGCAAGCCACGTCTGCGGCGCCTTTCAGGGCTTGGGAGGTGCCCCTGGTATTGCTTGGCCCGTCGCATCCCCTCATGCACTGCAACAATGAGCATCACTGCAAGGAACTAAGCCATGAAAAGCGCACGAGTTTCGGGTTATGCACAGCCCGGAACAAGTTTCTTGATCTCTTCGAAAAGCCATGGATGCAAAACTCGACAGTTGGGATTGCTGATAAGTGCAACATCTTAGCGCCAAAACATCAACAACTCGCACTCGCCCGGCTAGCTCAATCGGTAGAGCGTGAGACTCTTAATCTCAAGGTTGTGGGTTCGACCCCCACGTCGGGCTCAATTCCCGGCGGCGAAACGCGATTCGTATTTTTTTTTTAAACTTTTGTGGATGTGTAGCACATGCCAATTGGTTTTTGTTTGCTGCTTCCTTTTGCATTTGGGTGTTTCGCCTCGTGCTGTACTGCAAAACAACTTAACAATTGTTTTATCAACATAAAATGCCGTGTCTCCAATATGATCAATATCCCTGCGCATCCTCCGGTACTCCACTCCGCTGTCGGCAAACGAATTCGAACATCACCACGAGGCATTGGAGGCAAGCAACACAATGGAACTTTTGCGCAAAGCTTCAACGAGGACCAATGTGCTAATGTCTGAACCTTCCATTTTAGCATTCGAAAGGTACCGATCGTATTTGAACAATGATTACGACATCGTGTCAACGCAGTGAAAGACATGACATAGGGACCTGTCCCTTAACTCCCTGTTCCACAAACCCCGACAGTCTCGACAATACTGGCCTACCACAGACTTAAGTCGGATGGAAGGTACGTACCGTACAACTACCAGACGAAAGACAAGACCCACAACCTCGCCCGGGCTGTGCATATCTTCGTCCAAGGCTATAAATATCAACAAAATACAAGGACATGGGTTGAAGTGCTAAGGCTCTGCTATGCCGCTACACGGAAGCTCTCGCGGGAGCTACTGAAGGGAATCTACCGACGATCCGTGTTAACATGTTGAAGCCATCACCATGTCTTGGCTTCCTTTTTACAAGCTGGATAAAAACCGCACTTGGCTGCTTTGGATACAAGTCGAGCATCGTCCTCCTTCTCGTTGCTCTCTCTCTCTCTCTCTCTTTCTATTTTTTTTTTTTTTTTTTTTTCTCTCTTTTCAATCAATCAAGTTATTCACCACCATTTTCGCCGTCTCTCGTCATCACGTCCTCCGTATGGTTTAACTCGACATGCTGTACTATCTGTATGCGTCCCGCGACGTGTGCTACACTAACTCCATGCATATGCACGACGATCGGAAATTCTCGACAACAAGCCCTGACGACCACCGACGAGCTTTGCGACGGTTTTCAAAGTCCGAACCTGTACCCTCATCGAACATCGATCGAACGGCAAAGCGCAAGTTCCACGCCTACTTATATCGTCGAATCGTCATCCATCTACCGTTGTCCCGCCTCTTTGCATTCTGATTCCCGGTTACAATATCCCTACCATAAGCTCCCCCGGACCCCAGGACCACTGCTACAACCTGCATGCATATGCACGACCCTCGAAAACCTCCGTCCCCCTCCAGCTCGACACCACGCACCGTTGAGCTTTGCGACACTGAAAGTTTCCGAACCCAGGTACTGTCCCGTCACCGATCAAACTTTGATGAGCAAGTTCCACAACCACAGAACCTCGTCACCCATCTGTTATTCTGTTGTCATCCTCATTATATCCTTAATCCCTTGCTATAACATCCCCGCCACAAGTTCCCGCCACACCCCGGGACCAGTGCTAACGTCCATGCATACGTGTAGGTATGATTGCCCCTCGAGCACCTGCTCTTTACAACTCGACAACAAGCATCGACCGACGAGCTTTACAACCGTTCCCGATTCCACAAGTCCGAACCCTTAACCCATACCCTCACCGATCAAACCTTCAATCTTGAACCTCGAAGCGCAAGTCCCACAAGTACCTACTTCGCCACCCGTTCGCCTGCCGTCATCCTTACGTATGACCTGATTCCCGGCCACGACAACATCCGAGCCACCACAAATAAGTTCCCGCTCTTGCGATCGTCGTTCGCACCACACAGACTGGTGCACAGGCCAACCGTTCCTGTATTTTCGCATCATCGGGGTTACAGCAGGTCCCTGTAGGAACAACAGAGTAGCGCAAAGAGGGGGAAATAACATACACGCAGGAGCATTCCCGCATCTGGATTACATCCAGTCAATACAGTGCCCAGGGTACGCACAGCGCCACATCTGCGGGGGGGGGGGGGGGGGGGAAGAAAGAGGGGGAGCGGCAACGGCGGCAAGCCGGCAACTCCACACACTTTGACAGGGATCTTCCCGCAAGCCGAGCTGCGGAGTGTGGAACACGCCGACGGGACGGGGAGCTCCCGAACTGGCTGCATATGCCATGTGCGCACTTTGTCAACTCTAAATGTACAGCACCTCATGTATGTAGCTATAGATTGTTACACGCGATTGGATAGATATAGGTAGATCGGCAATTCTTGTTGGCCATGTTAATCCCCATGTCAAGGAACGCACTCCTCGTTGTTTTCTGAAACTTGTTGGTCAGTCGCAAGTGTAGCGCATATCACGAGCAAAGGAGAGTGATCATGATGAAAGCAAAACAAGTATCATTAACTATCTAGGGCTGAAATGGCGCCTTCTGCCAATTCGGGAC